AACTCCACTACTGGCGCCAAGAACACCAGTACAAAGCAGTAAACTGGCTAACTCTCGTATAGCCAATCTCCTACTATCGAATGAAGAGGCTCTAACAACCTAATCAGATTCTATCTATCTCAGGTTGCAGCAGAAATTGAGAAAAGCTGATCAGACTCAAATCAATTCAATAAACATGCGTCATTCGATTAAAATCAAACAGTAATATCATCCCAAGTCATTACAATCAAATCCCTAACACAAGGAACTAGGGTTCTTCATACCCAAGTGAGAGAAGGGTTCTACTCCATAGAGAGAGAAGAGAAAACAAGAATCGGATTAGTCATACTCATAACGATGAGGATAATCTGCTCCGGGACGATGATTTCCACTCCTATGACGATCTCCAAGCTCGATTGATGAAATCCAGCTCTAAGACAGCTTCTAGGGTGCGTTCTTCGTACTTTCTCTCTCTAAGGCTCTGTTTTTGCTCTGAAAACACGATTCTCCCACTTTTCGCTCGGAATAGGCTCTAAAACCAGGAATTCCCAACTCGCACGGCCAGGGTGCACGGCCGTGCAGATCACCCACTTGGCCGTGCACTCCAAAACGCGGCGTATCAATTAGTTCGACCTCAGGCTTCTCGCACGGCCAGGGTGCACGGCCGTGCAATCTTCAGGGTCTGCCCGTGCATGGCCTCGGCATAAAGCGCACGGCCATCTTGCTCACGTGCACGGCCGTGCAGCCTCCCTGGTCTGCCCGTGCAGCTCCCCAAAAACCTCGCCATTCGTCCGTTCTTCGTCCAAACGACCCCAGACTCACTCCTAAGCCTTCATTCACGTACTAGGACCTGAAATATCACAAACAAGCACAACCTAGCGTGAAATCGGCCTAAAACACGAGAATCAACACCTCAAACGGTGTAAGAATGGGGGTAAAAACATGTGTAAATGACGGTCTATCAGGGTCCCAACAATCTCCAACCTTTACGAGGCAGAGGGGATAGAGGTCAAGGAGGGACACCACAAGTTCGAGTTCGTAGAGCTCCTGAGACTATAAGGTGTACTACGAGGAGGAATAGTATCCCTAGCATAAGGATGATGATATGAGGGGGCTGAAGGTGAAGGTGCCATCATTTCAAGAGAGAAGTGATCTTGAAGCTTACCTCGACTGGGAGAGAAAGATGGAATACTTGTTCGAGTGTCTCGACTACTCCGAATGGAAGAAAGTAATCATTGATGCTCTTGAGTTTTCTGACTATGTCGTTGTTTGGTGGGACCAGCTGGGTGCTAAACGGTGATTGCACGAAGAAGATCCCATCACGACATGGCATCAAATGAAGGCAGCCATGAGAATGAGGTTTGTACCCGTTCATCATCAGCGGGATCTGCATCAAGCTCTTCACTTGTTGAGACGGGGTGCAAAAAGCGTGGAGGATTATTTCAAAGAGATGGAGACATTGATGATTCAAGCTCGCGTCAATGAAGATCGAGAAGCAACCATGGCTCGATTTCTCAATGGTCTCAATCGCAAGATCAGGCAGGTCGTGGAGATTCACCACTATGTGGAGATTGAGGATTTGGTGCAAATGGCGACTAAGATCGAGAAGCAACAGAAGGGAGGCTACTTGAGGAGGGTGGCACCATCCACGAGTGCTTACTCGAGCGCTCCGCGGGCTCCACCAACGTTGTTAGCTCCATCGATGGTCATAGATGGAGGAAGTTGTACCCATGTGGTTAGCTCGCAAGCCAAGTCAAGAGTCCAGCCAAACGGGTTATGTATTCCTCTCCCTATTCCTACTGCTCCTTGGATTAACATTTCTATGGATTTCATTCTTAGATTTCCTAGGAATAGGAATGGTAGAGACTCTGTGTTTGTTGTGGTTGATCGGTTTTCAAAGATGGTTGACTTTATCCCATGGTCTCAATCTCTGATCGTGATGTCAAGTTCTTGAGTTACTTCTCGAAAACTCTATGGAGTAAGCTTGGAACTAAGTTGCTATTTTCTACTACTTGTCACCCTCAAACGGAGGGCCAAACTGAAGTAGTTAATAGCACTTTGTCTCAAATGCTTAGGGCTATCATTAAGACTAATATCAAGTCTTGGGAAGAATGCTTACCTCATGTAGAGTTTGCATATAATAGGATTGTTCATTCTACCACTAAGTTTTCACCGTTTGAGATTGTGTATGGATTTAATCCTTTAACCCCATTGGATTTGTCTCCCTCACATGACATCGATCATGTGAATTTAGATGGTGCGAAGAAAGTAAGGTTTGTTCGAAGTTTGCATGAGAAGCCATAGCTGAACATAGAGAGGCGGACGGAGCAAGTTTTAAAGAACGTGAACAAGCATCAGCATCCTCAACGATTCGAGCCAGGAGATTGGGTCTGGCTTCACATGAGGAAGGAACGTTTTCCCCAACAACGACGTTCAAAGTTGTTGCCTCGTGGAGATGGTCCCTTTCAAGTCCTCGCTCGTATCAATCAGTGTAGTCAAAATCGCGCTTTAAAGCGTAAAATCGTACGATTTTACGTTTCTAGGGTAGGAAAACGTTTCAAATCAACAATAAAATCGTTTTTTATTCAAAATCGGTCAAAAGCGTGATAAAATCGTTGAAATCGATAAAATCGGATAAAAACACGTTTTTAGACCGTTTTTGTACGATTCCAAGCAAAGGAGCAAAACTGTCTCCTCTCACCAAAACGACGTCGTTTTTCTTATGAAAAAAAAAAAAGGTCGGGCTGCCAAAAGAGAGTAAGGCTGCGCCGAACCTAACCCTACTCCATCTATCTCATCTCCTCCAGCGCCGCAGGGCTCTCGCTCTCCCACTCCACCCTTCTCGTCAATCATCATCGGCCGCCGCCTGTCTCCTTGGCCGCCGGCCGCCGCCTGTCAACAATCGCCAGCCGCCGCCCTTCGCCCAGCCGCCGCCCTTCGCTAATCGCCGGCCCGCCGCTACCCCTCAGCGCCTCGTCGCCCGCCGTCTCCAATAGGCGGAAAGAGCAGGCGAGCAGCAAATCATTCCGTCACTTCCGCCGACCAAATTCCCCGGGTATGATCGTCTCTCCCTGCTCTATCTGCTCATCGGTGGCAATCATCAAAATTTGAATGAAACCAGGGAAACAATGTCTTTGGAGTTGCACCCAATACCAAGAAACTAGGGGAAGAGAAAGTCAGGTAGACCCTCTCATATTCCTCTGTCGACTCCTCAATTGACCGGGGAAGAGAAGAATACCGACCAACCCTGTTTCAGTTTGCTTGTTCTTTTACTGGTTCAGTTGACTATTGCAATCCTAGCTAGCATTGCTTGAGCATAACTGAAACAATATCCTGTCTCGCTTCCGTCATAGCAAACATCGGGACTCTGATTGGAGCCGAGGGTTCTGTTTCTTTTTAGATTCATTTATTTATTTGAATCTCATTTGATTGAAAGTGTTGGAACGCTTGTTGCTGTGGTCATCCGAATTCTGTAATTGCAATTGCTGCTGCATGTGCTGGGATTTTGGACTTAGGGCGCTGCTAGCTTGACTGATTCACATATGTATAAATTATAATTCAGAAGTTGAGATTTTGTGATTTACAACAATTATTCTTTGTTTTATGTAGGATTTGCAATTTCAATTATGTCGAGTGGGGGTACTAGTGCAAGCAATACTGCAATTTCAATTTCAATTATGTCGTTTGTGGGTTACGATTTATGTTTAGGAACTTATTGTTATGATGTTATGAGTTTGTTCTAATTTAGACATGAATTGCAGGTATTTTTTCTTTTATCTAAACACTGTGAACTCATATTTTACATAGTTTATGCCGTACTTAACATTATTTTAATTATTATACAGGATGCATCAAAAACTTACGCTTTTACGCTTTAATTCACCGCTTTTCGATTTTACCCCTTTTCCGCTTTTAGGTAGAATCGCGCTTTTAACTGCATTGGTATCAATGACAATGCCTACAAGATTGATCTACCAGGCGAGTATGGTGTGAGTGCTACGTTCAATGTTGCTGATTTAGCTCCTTTCCTTGAATACGACTCAGATTTGAGGGCAAATCTTTTTCAAGTGGAGGGGGTGATGAGGGAATCAGCACCAAGGCAATCTCAAGTCCAACTCTTGTGCGAGAGGAACGTGGTCCGGTCACTAGAAGTCAAGCCAAGGCATTCAAGGGTCGACTTCAAGCTTCTTTGGCCCAAAACTTCACAAAAATGGTGGTCGACTTATTCGTGGGACGAAAAATGATGATCATAGGAGCTGGGGATGCTTCAGGTCAATTCCCCGGCCATAGAGTGACAAACCCCGATCAGGTTTTTGAAGGTGAGACAAGGGAATGAGTCCAGGGATTTTCCTCGGACTTAAAGTCCAATTCCCCGACCGAGTATTCGTGGAGGAGACCGAGTTTTTCACCCCAACTCCAGCCGACGATTTTTATGTTTCCTTTGCTGATTTTGTGACGTTTACACCTAAACTCGGGTTTCTTTGTTATTTTTTGCCCAAAACCTTTGTAGCCTATATAAGGGGCTGAACTAAGTCTTTTAGAGGGTAATTAACAATTTTATTCAGAAATCAAAACCCTAGAACTGGTTGTTCAAACACCAACTTCTCTTCTTCTTTTTTCTTGATCGTGGAATCGATTCTGCAAGAAGAACCCGACGTTTTCTACTAGCTCATCACCCTAGCTGAATAGTCATTCGTATACCTGGCCCTCTTCCCGACACGTGGATTAGGTTTGGGTTGTTATCCATTTTGTGATAGTTGTGCTTCTAGTCGATCTTTCTTGCATTCTGATTGTTTAAGTCCAGGTGTTAGAGTCTCGGCTTATATCAACCTGTAACTTTAAAGTAAGTTCCCAAAGATAAGAAGGGATGGTACATACCTGAAGCAACAACATCCTCATAGCTATCCTTAATACTTGGAATTCCCCTCTACCTATGAGTGCGGTCAGCAGAATAAATAAAATTTGATTTCGATATATATATTGCTTATATTGTTCTTCTACAAATAAGAAAAAAGATCCCTTTACCTTCTTTCACCCCAAGTAGGATTCGAACCTACGACCAATCAGCCGACCGCTCTACCACTGAGCTACTGAGGAACAACGGGAGATTAGATCTCATAGAGTTCAATTCCCGTTCTCAACCCATGAACAATATGAGCTCGAAGTTTCCTTCGTAACTCCCGGAACTTCTTCGTAGTGTCTTCGTTCCATGCCTCATTTCATAGGGAACCTAAAAGTGGCTCTATTTCATTATATTCCATCCATATCCCAATTCCATTGATTTAATATCCCCTTTCCTTTGGTGTCATTGACATAAGAGATGTCGTTTCTACTCTATCTGTTTCTATTTCTATATTCTATTTCTCTATATATGGCTATATATATGGAAGATCAACATTGACCGCTTAAGGTAATTGGGAGCTAGTTAGTTTCTGGATATTTCTCTCCAAGAGGTTGCAAGAACAAAAAGGGAGGGTGGTGATAACTTACATCCTTATCTTATATTGTTTTACTTATAAGGTGAGAAGAGTTGGCTACGTGTAGATTTTCCAGGGAGGTGAGCTGGTGGAACTATTTCCAAGGGTGTGAGGTGGTGACAACACTGACATGAGAGGCACTCCTTCCCACTTTCGGTTCAGTGGTGTTATAAATGGAGGCAGCAGTAAGAGAGGTAATAGGGACAACTAGCTTAGTGGGATTCTTTCCATCTCAATGAAATAATCAAGTTCTCCGCCAAATCATGTCATGGTATTTAATTTGATAATACTTAAGAACCTCCTATACTCATAAATCATAATATCTTTTATATAACTTTGGCAACTAATCCAATGAACCTCCTAAATTTGATTTTTTTTTATACGTAAAATATGTGTAACAAGTAGCTCAAGTGAGGAGGGTGTGACATAAAATCCTTTTTCCCCTCATGTTTAACGTCAAGATCATGCATGGTACTATTTTCTCATTGTTTGCAATAGAGAAGAAGGTAATCTTTTCATCACCCACTGATAACATTGTATTTGAACATGTTTTTCCCGTCATTTCTTGATCGTTTGAGCTCGCTTTCTCGCTCTCGTAACCTATTTTACGCTAGGTTGTGTTGGTTTATGATGTTTCAGGTTCTAGTTGTGAATGGGTGCAAATGAGCGAATTTTGGGATGTTTTGGAGCGAACGGGCAGAGAGCAGGGAAAACTACAGCCAGACCTTGACCGTAACTTCCCCATGCAACCCGTAACTTTGGAGGAGCAAAAGCCATGGATCCAGAAGAACTTTCAAAGTTCCGCCCAAGCCCTTGATGTTAGGGTCTGAATCGTAACTTACCCTCCACGCCCGTAACTCTGAAGAAGCGAGGCTGGGGTTCCAGGAGAATTTTTGAAGTTACGGCTTGTCCCTCAGAGTTACGATCTTGATCGTACTTCCCCTTTTGAACCGTAACTCTTGGTTTACGGAGTGCTTGAAGTGTCGCCGTTTTAAGGGAAGTTATGGGCTGGGCAAGAGAGTTGCGATCGTAAATTTAGTCGTAACTCGCAAATCTCCAACCTTTAAAAGGCCCGCTCGGGCAAATTGCAAAGGATCCGGATTTTTGAGTTCTAAAGAGCATAAAGAGAACCCTAGGGAGAGAAAGTGACGAAGAACGACATTGGGAGCGGATTGGAGTGATCTAAGGACAATGGAGCTCGATCTTTCAACCTTAGAGTGTCCATTTCTAGCTTGGAGAATATTTTCATTCCTCGCGTGATGATTTCTCTTCCAAACTTGGTGTTTTCCTTTCTCTTCATGGAGTAAAATACCTTTTCATCTAGGTATGAAGAACCCTAGTTTTGTATGTTAGAAATGGTTGTATGAACCCTGTTTGTAAGTGATTGATTCGATATATTCAATTGAGGCATTAATCAGAATTGCATGAGTCTTGATTAAACTTTTGTTATTTCTACTTTAACCTATAACGATAGTCTTTCCATAGGTTAATAGAGCAACCTTAAATTGGAAGTGGTGAATCGATTGCTTTAGTCTAGAAATCGATTCACTGCTCTGTACTGGAATTAAATCTTGTAGAGGAAGTTTGGTGTGATATTGCCTTGGTTAAATAGTTTATGTCGGTGGAGGTTAGTCACCCATCGGGTATTCAAACTGAGAGGGTCTGGATAACTTTAGTCAAGATTCCAGCCTTGTCAAGAACTTTCCGCAATATATCTATCAATCGAAGCAAATTGGGAACTTATAATCTGAACTTATAATCTGAACAACTCACTACACTTTTGTTGCCAGATAATAGAAATTCACGGAGTAGGTAGTACATCTAGGACCTGGGTTGACATTTATTACTGGTCCCACTACAATGCATTTTTTAACTACGATTGCACTTGATCATAGTTTGGTGTTGTGTTTTAGCGAGTCAAACACTTTGAGAATTATAATACATTCATTCACATCAATTAACGCCTTATCGGTAGCAAGGAAGGTTCGTCCTTGTATAAGGGGAACTTCTACGTCCTCATGAATATCAAGGATAAAAAAATTCGTAGGATAGTGGAATTCGCCCACATGGACTAGAAGGTCCTCCACAATACATACCCCTATGATAAACAACATACAAATTAGCTAAATGCACGCTCATTCTTGTTTTCTTAAGGTCACCTACCTAGGCCTAATTTCATGATAAGTTTGTAACGCATGACATTTATACTTGCACCTAAGTCCGCCAAGGACCATTCTATATGCAATACACTTATGTGACAAGGGATAGCTTAACCATGGAAATTTCACTCGGCTTCTTCTTCTTGTTCTTGGCGAGGAATTCCTTCAAAACTTGGCATACTTTAGCTTATTGAGCCATAACAAAAAAGAATGGAATGATGATGTGAAGCTTCTTCAGAAGATCCATGAACTTCCCGAACTCGGTCTCAAGGTGATCCTTATGCATTTTGTTGGGAAAGGAACTTGAGGCTTGTACTCAACCATAGGTGGTATCGGCTTTGCCTTCCGAGCCTCTTCTTCCTTCTCTTCTTCGATTTTTCTTCAAGATGTGATGGAGGAAGCTCCAGTTTGACAACTTTCTTTGGGGGTGCCTCTTTGGTTACCTTCACACTTTAGAGTGAGACAGCATGCAACCCCGATGTTTGATCCTTGGGGTTGGCAACAGTTTGAGCCGAAAGTTCCCTAGGAGGTCTTTCGGTAAGAGTTTCAACAAGGTCGCCAATTTGGGTTTCCATATTTTGAAGATGAGCTTAGTGGCTCCTCAATCCGGTTTCAAAAAAGTGGAGAACTTGTTCGAGGACACCTCCATTAACTTCTCAATTGCCTCCAACTTTTGGTACTTGAACTCACAAAATATTGAAAAGGTCCTCAAGTTTGGAAAGCTTGTCCGGTTGTTATTGAGGGAAGCCTTGTCCGCCTTGTCGTTGATACGCTTATGGTTGGAATGTCTGAGCTTGGAAAGAGGGAAATTGTTATTGGTAAAAAGGTCTTTGCTGTTGGTATCCTTCCATTGGTGCTTGAAATCTAAGAGGTCTTGGATTTGAAGAAGACAACCATGAAAAGTTATGATGTTGGCGCCACCCTGGATTATAAGTTTTGCTATAGGGGTTGTTACCTCCCCTAGCATTAGTAATCAAATCAACTTTATCTTGTGGTGTGGTCTCCTTCATCATAGCTTGGCAATCATTTAGGCCATGGTTTGTGATTTTACACCATCACATAAATTCACAAGAGCCTTGGGTTAGCTACTTGAAGGTGCTTCGGGTTTCTTTACCATCTTAATCGAATCATCTATCTTCGCCTCGAGTGAAGGATGAGACTCAACCGAGTGTGTGCCTTTCTCTCGTTAATTTATTTCCTTTTTCTAGTGACTCTCCAATCATATCACGAGTTGTCGTCTCCTCAAACAATTGTGTCATTTGAGGAAGAGTTATTGTTAAGCATATCTCGTTGGCAATATGAGTCATTAAGTATGGGGTCTTCTTAGAAGAGTCCATTGTATAAGGTACCGATCTTGAAGTGGTCATCGAATCCATGGTTAGGGAATTGCCAGAACAACCTTGTGTATCTCTCGCATGCATCTCTAAGAGTTTCAACATCTTCTTGGGCAAAGTGAGTGATGGATTTAAAAAGTTTGATTGTCTTGGATGGTGGGAATTGGGAAATAATGGGCCATGTACTTCTCCATGAAATCCGTCCAATAAGTTATAGAGAGGTGCTTGGTTGTGGACCAAATCCATACCCATCCACTCAAGGATAAGGGTAACAATCTCAATCGGAGCGCATCTTTTGGTACTCCATTCGCTTTAATCCCCCTCGTGATCTCCAAAAAATGATTGATATGATCTTTTGGTGCTTCACTTTGAGACCGAAGAATTGGATGTTGTTCTGAATCATCGAGATCACACTCGTCTTGATCTCAAAATTATTGGCCACAATAGGGGGATGTCAGATGCTTGGTCGAGTATCCTCGACCCTCAGGGTAAAGTAGCATCCCCATGCTTCAGCCTTATCTTCAACTTTGAATTCCTCTTCCCGAGGGTTGTGTGTTACTAACCTCTCCTTAGCTTCTCTAGCTCTCTTTCCTTGCAAGAAGTCGAAGGGTTCGTTTGATGTTGTGGTCTAGCGGTCGCAAGTCCTCCATATTACTTCGGGTCATGAAATACCTACAGCACACTTAAACAATACAACATGAAATACAAAGTAAAGTTAAACAAGGATTAACTGGTTATTCCTTAACCTGGGACAAAAGTAAAAGCTAAAGTAACAATAGTTCACTTTTCTTAATAACTTAGCCGCGTCCCCGACAACGGTGTCAAAAAGTTGACTCGTACCTAACTACACTTTCCAACTAATGGCCAAGTATAACAATCAATCTAGTGCAATATAGGGTAAGGAAGTTTAATTTATTACTACTCAGTGAACTAATCGTTATCTAGATTACAATATATTGTTTTTATTAAGCAACTAAACAAACAAAAACAAAGCAAGAATGATTTGAATTCAATTAAGAGAAGGTCACTCAGGTGTCTCTAGACCTAAGTTAGGTCGATGTTGAATTCCCCTACCTTACCCACTCTTAATCTATACCACAAAGAGTGCTAAACTAGCTTTGATTCCCTGTTCGAGAAATACAAGCCCACTTAAATGAGCAACCCGGAGGAGAGTTTCCACAATCGGTATAGAATACCTAAGGCATGAAATTTAGACACCCTCTAAAGGATCTCGATCCAGTACAGTATTGTAGACCAAATCACCCTCGTTTAATCAACCAACAATAAAGAATTGAAGATGCTACAATCAACCAAATTAGATATGCCCTCTCTTAGGTCGATAACTCAAATTGGAGAGTGTGATCAATACTCAAACAATCTCATGATAAATACTTCAAATCAATAAATAATAGTGAGAATAACAAAATAAGATTCATGTAACATACGTGGCTAGAAATCTACACATCCAGTTGGAATGGAGTCTAGTCCATAGTGAGAGAAAGAGAGGAAAACAAAAACTCATGAAGAGAAATCATCTTGTGGTGATGGGTTCTTGATATTGAGCTTCAATCTTCACTCCTAGATGATGAATCTTCCCTCCGATTGAGGTTGGATGGCTCCAATCACCTTCTAGGGCTCCTCCTTCGTCACTTTCTCTCTAAACTTTGTATCTCTTTGCATAAATGGCTTCAAATATGGTTTATACCCAGAATTGTGCAAGTCACAATTTCATGTCACGGCCGTGACGTTCGACAATGGTTGTAACATCAATCAGAAACTCACCACATCACTTGCACAAGTCACTACTATGTTGCCCATGTCACGGTTGAAACCATGACATGTGTAGGTCATATGCGACATGTGCAATCACTCCTGGAAGTCCGTTGAATGTCACGGATTCTTCTGTAAATGTCACAGTTGAACCTGTGACTTTTGCACGCCCATGACATGTGGAAAATCTATTGTTAGTCTGTTGAAGGTCACGACCTCTTCTGTAAATGTCACGGCTTAGCTGTGACATGCGTTCTCTGAACCGTGACATTTGTCACCCTGTCGTCTTTGTCTCGGTTTCGACTGCAAATGGTCCAACAAACGTTCCTTCGCCATATTCACCTAGGATCTTAAATATACTAAACCAAGCACAAACTAGCTTGAAACGAGCTAAAAACAACAAATATCAAGACAAACATGTTTTATTTGGAATTGATTTGGGTTGTTAGATAGTTTTGTTTGGGATATTTTGGTTCCTTTTTGACAGATTATGCATTTTGAACTTAGTTTATAGAGTAAACAGTTAATGAATGTGGTGTATATCTTAATCATCACATTGTTTAAATTTGATTGATGGTTTCATTATGTTACGAAATTATGTGGTTCAATGAACAAATAACAAATGAAAGAAAAACCGGGCTTCTTGGATGAGTATCCATGAGTATTGGGTAATTAGAACAAGTTATTTGCAAAGACAAGTTACTGTACACCTAGACAAGATTTTTCTGTTCATTTAGACTCAAAATTACTGTTCACCCTCCTCCCATTGGTGCATCCTCTGCGATTGGGACCAGCCGCCTTTGCTGATTGGTTGGTTTCCTGCGTCTGGGTCCCGCCGTTGTTGCTGTTTGTGCCGCGTTGCCCTCAGCTGCACGCTCATTTTCCCTTCGCTCTCTCTTTCCTGCTTTTCTTTCTCTGCTTTTCTCAACTATTCCCTCTGAAACCTTCTTCTAATCATTACACCTGTCAATCTGTACGTTTCTCTTTGCTCTTTTCTCTTATCTTGCCATGGATATTGCTGCACTGTTCTTCTGGTCCCGAGGGGTTTCTCGAATACTGTGATCCTTCGCAGAGAAGTTAAGGGTTTTCCCCACCACAGAAACAATAAGTAGAGAGGAGAGAGAGTCAGAGTCAAATTAGAAATCCCTTTCTTTTCATCTCAGTTTCTCTCTCCTTTCTTTCTCCTCTCTCTTCAATCTCTCAAAATGGCCGCCTCCACCATTGCTACCTCCTCTGTCGCCTCCTCTACCTCCACGGCTGCCGTCGCCACCGTCTCCATCATCGCCACCTCCTCCGTCGCCGCCGCCTTCGCCATCCCCACCGCCTCAACAGCAGCCGTTGCCACCTCCTCCACCTCCGCTTCCACCGCCTTCACCGCCTCCACCATCTGATCCCGCCGCGGGAGCCGGCGGCGTCGAGACCCTCTCTGGCGGATTCGGTAGTATTCGGCTGATCCCTCTCACTCCTCTTCCCGCTTATACTCGAAACGGTGCTGTTGGGATAAGAAACCCCCACTTCCTCCTCGCAATCGGCCGCCGTGTTCATTCTTCCTTCCTCGGTTCGTCCATAGACCTCGCAATCGGTGAGTTCTAAATTTCTTTCATTTTCTTTACTCTTTTTGCATCGATGGTGGACTCAACCATTTTGTTTCGTGTTTTATCGAATTCTTGGAGATCTATTTACCATTCTTCACGATAGGTCGATGTTGGAAAGGCGGCGCTAAGGTTCCCTTCTTTGAAATCTCTATCAATGTCTCGCTTCCTGCACACCAATTTCTAGAGATTCGTTCTGTTCATGGTGAGTATTGATGAGGCAGATTTGTTTCCTCTCTATGAATCTCTTTGCGCAATGTTCCCTGACAGATCCTCTCTTCATTCTGTAGCGCAGTGTGATTTGAGCTTTTCGTTTGAATATCAGTAAAACAATTAGTATGGCAGAGGGGAGGAGATGAGGTAGAGATCGGGAGTTTTTCAGTTTATTCCTGTACTCTTTCTTTACTCTTTCATTAATTAATCGATTTGTTTTTGCATATTTGTATGGTGTTTTGCAACCTCGATGAGGACAAAGCGGTTGCGGTACACAGAAGATCTACATGTTCCCATTATTATCTTCCTGTTCTCAGATCTCCTAGGGCGAGGACTAAAGAATTGGATTTCAGAAAACCCAGAGCTTCCAAAAGATCAATGAGTTACTTGAGGTGCGTTTCGCTTGACGGATTTTACCTCTCTGAGGTTTTTTATCTACTAATTTGATTGATTTGTTTACCGTTGCTTCATTTAATTGTTGGTTTCAAGGTACTGGTGGTTAAGCTTGGTACTTTCAAAATTTGAGGTCCACTCAGTAACAGGGGAGATAAGGCGGTGATGATCAAGGCAAGATTTGTTGGATCAGCTCTCATAAATGTAGAGTTCTGGTGAGCTTTTCTGTAACCTCTTCTTTTTTTAGGTCTTAATCTATCCCCCCATTAAAAAATATTTTATCTCATCATGAATATCTTTCTCATTTGCTTCTTTTTTCAGCAACGTGAGAAGAGCATTTGTCCCGACGCATCTCCGAGCAACTTAGACAATCAAGAGGTCTTTGTCTAAAGGGGAACAATCAGTTATAGTTGTTGGTTATCTTTCTTTAAGTTCATGCCCTTTTATTTGGCTTGATTCTCATTCTGCATATCTGAGTTTCTACTATTCAATGAAGTGGATGATTAATACACGGTTTTGAGTTATTGAAAGATGTACCTCTCTTTGTCTGGGTTACTTCTATAATGTGCCTTGATTCTTTCCCCTGTTTTTTAGCATTGTTCTCTTCACTCTAGAGTTTTGGGTTAGCAGTACGTGGATTTTAGTTCTAACATGATCTTTGAATTATGATTCTTACCATCCAACATGATCTTTCCCTCACGTTTTCATTCGGGTTTCCCCTATAGTTTTTTGTTACGCATCTTGATGAAAGGGAGATGTTTGAGGGTGTCCTTGAATATGACATGTTAATATCTGATCTCCAGTTTTCTCTGCTTCGTCATCTTCTCTGTGTGTGTTGCAGGTAGCTATTCCGTGTGAGATGAGCACCTACCAAGCAGGAGAAAGACTCTTCTATTTTTACTTCTATGATCCGTAAGATTTACATGTTCTATAGATTACTATGCTGATTGGTTGGGGTTGTGCAATAGGATTGGTTACGTTTAGGTTATGCAATAGGTATAGTTGCCATTCAATCATCCTAGGGTTCATGAATAACAATTTGGGGATTTCAAGTACTGTGGACTGTCTGCATCAGATGGAAACTGAAATGTGCCTCCTATAATGAATAAAATCAAGGGTGAAGGTTAGGTGTTTGCCATTAAACCTTCAATTTTACTTTATAAAATCATGATAAGTGTGTTGTTTACATTAATCTAATTGTATGGTCATGTTGCTTTTATTTGGTTTATTTATTTTTGCTTATATTATACAAGTACTACAATACAGACAATGGTTGGAACTTGGAATTGGTGAAAGCTGCAATAGGATGAACAAGATACCACTCCTGCTATTTTTAAATTAGTCTTTTGTAGTTGGTAATAACTTCCTTTTGTTAACTGTTTCGTAAAAACCATGCTTAATTGAAGGACAATTTGGAACTGTACGGGCGTCTTTTGGACTTCTCAAACTTTATTTGTTTTGCAGACAACAAACTGGCAGAACCGATATAGAAGCGGCAAGAGCTCCCATGTAATGTATCTTTCAATTGAATTGAATGACTATCCTGTTCTGAACACAGGCCTGAAAAAGATGCGTCAAATGGAGATGGCAGTGTGGTTCAATAAATATTGTGTTGCAGCGGTAGCATTTGGTGTTGTACATTTCCGTTGTCATATGTTTTTGTCATCATTCAGTTAAGTTTTTTTTGGCTATCACAGTTACCCGACTGTAAATTTTCCATGGATTTTCACCTGGAAAGTCTCCTGCATATGATTATGGTACCTTCAATCAATAATATCTCGAACCGTTAACCGAGATGGTATAGATGGAAATGTTAGGCACGTCAACTTACTAAATATTTTAACAATAAATTTCTTCGGTACACAATCGTTCATCTTATTGTTGCGTTATGTCAATTCTCTGAACTAACAACATAATGCTAAAACGTAATTGCCAAGTGCATGTTGATGTTGCTGAGTAAACAAGTCAAGAGCGCTAATTGTTTTTGTGTAACCCAACATATATGTTGGATGTTAGTTAGTAGTTAGCAAATTGAAATATAACTGTTTCAAAGTTCCAATCGTGCATTCTCCCCAATCCTGCATTATAGAACCCAAAAATTACACAAGTGAAGCATATCCCGCGACAGGGCTGATTACTAGTACCCAGTATACATTCAAATTTGGACGTAGTATAAAATTTACTATCAATACTCCTACTTTAGACAAATGTCAATATACTAAAATATCTTCTCTCGCTGATACCAAATACACATCTCCACCCCGGCCCTTTACCATCGCTAATTGCCCACAAACTATTTTCAGCCTAAAATGATTTTTCGAAACCTATCCAAATATAAACGTTTTTGGCTTTCTCCTAATGGATATATATCATCAAATCACTACCACATTTCCTTTATAATCCAAACACGTTCTCCACATTGTTCTAGAATCTAGACCAAAAACAATTTACAGTGATCGGTTGCGGGGAGCAAAACCGGTCAGGTCTGCTGCCCTGTATCTTCACGGACAAGAAGAGTCCTATGATTCCTTTTCCATGATATGATTTGATTTGTCCGAGGACTTTAACTGACCAGAACATGTGCTAATGCTTCTGTCTCCGCCGCTGCATGGTACTAAAACCGAAAAACTTGGTCGAAACAGAAGGAGCCCATACAGTTTGGCGCCAAAATTTGATCTAGTTTCTTGTGACCTGCCCAGAAACATCACAACCCAGTACATATAAGAACATGAAACTGTCTAGTTTAGTCAAACATGTGGACTGGAAAGGAAACAAATACTTTCTAGTCGCCGCTCCCGTGGAGAACCAGAACAATCAAACTCAAATACTGTTGAGTTGAGGATATATCATATATTTACTAATTAGCTTATAGCGCAAAACCAGACTGATTAATTGGTTAAGTTAGATAGAGCAAATAAGTCAGGAGGCAAGATCTCACAACTCAACAAGAGTATCAACTCATATTCAACTGCAACAACCGTATTAAGAATTAAGAGGCAATAATGTGCTGCTCATCAATGAAACATAACATCAGGCTTCGTACTCAAACAGAGTGTTCGTCCTCGGTAACAAATAACAATTTTATACTATGGAATTACTTAATAATGCAGTAAAAGAAATAGCCCATTTTTTTCCAGGTGTCTTCACCGCGTCATTAAAGTGCAAGTGATTTTTTCCCAACAGTTTCAAGCACAAATTGCATATAAAACCGGGGGGAAACACTCATATTGATGCAAGGATGAACATACCTCACTACTGCTTGGACTTCCCAAAAAAGTGTTCGATCTGCAAACATCCCTGAGACTGCAAACTAGTTGTTTTGCTTGCTGACTTCAACCTTTTTACGGGCATGGAACTCTCTGAACCACCCTGAATATACAGTTAACAGTAAACTCGATAAATAGATTAAGCATGGAGCCACATGAGAAAACAGGCCAAAGACAAGCATGTTAAGAGGTATGCATGTATCTCAACATTTCTTTCATGATTGCATGAATAAGCTTACTAGTGTCCTTGTCGAAATGGCCAGGAAATTGACCAATGCAGTCAACTACAAAATTAGACAAAACTAAGGATAACTTTTCAGCTAAGCATGCTCATGATCAATATTGTAAGGAAATGTATTCCATCTGCAGTATATGCTCACCATGAGGGCTTGATTCAGAGGTCTCGCGACTTTAACTCTCCCACCCCTTCCATCAGCTCCAACAGCAATCAAGTCTCCACTGTTTGTGCTTGTTTTCTGCACTGCAACCGACTGCTTGCTTTGGTCACGTTTACACCACTTCCCAAGATACCGGGTTGTTCCATCAGGACCTAGTAATCCACTTGAGAAACATATATCTGCTGGAAATAGTGTAGTTCAACCAGTAAAAGCATACATTAGCAAACAAATCTTGAAAAAATATAACTTGTTGTATAATGGAAGCATCCATCATGTTCTTGAATCTGTTCAGCTGCAGACTTACTAGATTAAACTCAAAGTTGGTGCATAGACAAACTACCTGGTTTTGAAAAACAGGCCGAGGATGGTAACTCCTTTTTTATGTTCATCGCGGGGCAAACATCAATGTTACCACCTATAGAAAAGGATGTTTCCTTAGCTGCAGCTGAGCTGGTGGTATCCTTATTTCTATTGGTTCTTGTTCCAAGAAGTATCCCACTTCCTGCATTATCCATTGGATGCTCTTTGTTTTGTTGTTTTCGAGTTGGGTGTTCCAAATCAAGATCTTGATCTCCCTCGTCTATGATACTGTAATTGTTCCTTTTTTTATCACAAGCCTGATTACCTGAAGGCTCGTCAGTAAAATTTGCAGCATAATCATTGATGGAAAAAGGGCCTTTTGCATCACCAATAGGGCTTCCCGTCCGGACCAAGCAATCTAGAGATATGGAGGAAACTTGTTCGTTTTCACTTCCAGGTCGAAAAATCTCAGAAGTAGGGGTATCTAACTTATCACCAAGTCCACCTGGAATTTTCTTCGTAGAGCTTGTATCCTTTGAAGTCTTTAAGAGCCTTAAAGCTTGATTCTCCTTTAGTTCAACTGCCATCTCCAGTTCCTGGATCTTAGTCTGTGTGACGCAAAGATAGATTATCATACATGTCATAACGGCATTCATATTTGTCAAAAACAAAGCAGAGGCAAGGAAATCTTGGTATGAATTTCCCCAGTTAATACTTCTAATGATCAAGGTGCCCAATAACTTACCTTCAACCTAATTATCTTTTCTTTTGCTTTCCCAAGTTTTTTGGAAGAACGAGCCTCTCCTCTTCCAAGCTGGTTGCACTTGGCCATTAACTCTTGGTAGGTCCTGCAGAAAAAAAAAAACTTACCATTAAACAACAATAATACAGTATATATTGTCCAAGCTCTAGTTGTTGGTTCTCCAGTTCTTTTGACTTGCACTGTATGTCTAACAAAAGTAACAGAGATGAACACATTTTGTAGCTGAAGTTCCTTTGGTTATGAATATCTAGCACACATAAAAGGTGTTTCAGCCACTATCAGTTCCACAATAACACTGATTTAGAAACTTCAAGGTGACGCCCAACAACTCATAAAACTGAATATCGCCATGCTCTCCAAGACAGGAAGGGAGACTTACTTGTTGCGGGTAACCAAGGACTTCCGGAGAATGTCAATAGTATCTTTAGCATTGGCCTCGTTACCAAAGGAAGCAAGCTTTAAAATCTCCTCTTCCTCCAGATTCAGGTCTGAGGCCCTATATTGAAGATGACAACAACCATATTATCCATAAAGTGTACGTCCTAGTCATAGCCATTCAAGTTCTACCCAGACCTAATTTAACTATACTTACAGTTTCAGTGCTGCAAGTTCTTTGGCCACGGCCATGCTCTTATCTTGTAACTTCAAATGGTCAGCCTTCAGCGCATCAAGCTCCTAGAACAATGACAAATCTGTTAACTACCAACAACCTTGTCTATCACGCCCAGAAAATGCCAGCACCAGTAGTCATCATTTTTGGGCATGGATGATTCTCAAATTTAAAGAATCATCAAATGTGCAAAGTGCTATCAAGGGGCAGCAAAAAGTAAATAGTTGATACGCAGAAAGGCCAAACAAAAGACACTAATTAAAAGAAAACACTGAATAAGGGGAAATCAATAACCAGAGAGAATGGCAGCTCAAATAACAACACACCTGAGATTTGAAACGAAGCATCTCCTCAACTGATGCTTTTTCTTGCACCACGTCCTCCTTCAACGCAAGCTCAGCCTTCAGCTGCTTCTTACAATCGTACAACTGAGACAATAATCCAGGAAAGAACCTGGGTTTAAACCCCCTAAAAGCCGAAGACATTTCCCCCCGTTACCATGACGTCAAAATTGAAAGTCATTCACGAAACCCTTACCTCACCATTAAGCCGCTCAATTTCTTTCCCTTGGCAATCCACTGTAGAGTTTAGCCCCCGCACCTTCCCCTCCAATCTCACAATCTCTCCGCCGAGCAACTTGGCATCGGCCTGTGTCTCCTCGCACTGCGACACACAGTAGTCGGCAGAGCCCCCCAATGACTGGAAATAAAGACGGGCCACATCGGAGCCTTTGCATCTCTGCTTGCAAACCGGGCAGGAACACTTCTTTTTGCTCCAACAGTACTCGAACCATTGCTGCAGGCTAAGGGTATTTTCGAACACAATGGAATTTCAACCATCAGTTTGATCGACCAAATATAACGAACGCAAAAGAGGGTGTTAGGTTAGAGTCGGAAACAGTACCATAGTTCGTGGAATACATGGCCGCAGATGGAAATAACTTGGAGATCCTCGACGATGGGCTTCAGATCTTCGTAGCAGATTGAACAGATTGTTTTCGCGAAGGCATTACTCATCGTCGGTGATCATGCCGTTTGGACTCCTCCTACTCTTTCCCTTTTCAGCACTTCACCACTAGTACTAGTAGGCCTAGGGTTTTCGCTTTTTCATGGTTTGGGGAGCGAAATTTTGAAAACTGGGAAACTATAGGGCGGGAAATTACTAATCAGGATTTTCGCTTCGAAATTAATTGAAAATTTCGCGTGCCCGGCATTCACCCGCACAATTCCCCCGGTAATTAGCCGTTTTCATTGAAGCACTCTCGTTGCAAAACTTGTAACACTATTTTTGGCACACAAGGGTGCAAATTCGAGGGTACAAATTCAAGGGAAAAATTGCAGGAGGGTGTAAATTGGTGGAGGGGTAAGTGAAGGGGTAAATTGTTGTTTGAATGAAAAAATAGGGGGTGTAAATAAAGTTAAAAGTAAATATTATATTATTATAAAATAGATTTATCAAATTTATAAAATATTATCACAAAATAATAAAAATAATTATTATATAATAGTGCTGAAATAATAATTGACTATAACAATTGTAATAATTATTGGTCGAGCGAACTCGAAGCCCAACTCGTAAGTGGTCATGCTACAAAGTTCTCGTGTCTAATCTATCTTTAAGTTGAATATGATCAAACTTAGTCAAACACATTCCACAAACACTTCTAATCTCTAACTTTCAATGCAAATTCGAGTCAACCAAGAGATCTCTATTTGATTAGACTAACATTGATAAACTTGCTCTCGGAGTCAAACGGTCAACTCAAAACAATGTCTATATTAATGATAACTATAATTACAATAATATTAATTATTATATAATTATAAAGCAATTATTAAAAAAAATCATAATTTCCTCACTCCCCCCTCTCTTCCTTCCTTCCCTTGCACCCCAATTTGGGGTAAGCCGAAATAGTAATTTTGCACCTGCAGTTTGCACCCCCTATTGTTCCAAATTATCAAAACATGTGTAAATGTGTTGAAAATTGTGTTTATCCCTCACATTTGCACCCTCCTATTTACCCCTCTTCTCAAACAGAGTTTAAGGGTCGAAAAAACAGGGGCAGCAACCTGTTAATATTTCAACTCCCAAAGGGGAGAAAACAGAAGATATGGAACATCTACTCTGGATCAATGATCCTATTTAACTCGGGTACTTTATGGAGCATTGTTAAAAATTCGATGTTGCTTCTACTGAATAAGAGCACTTCTTCTCGCATCATGGAAGCTACCCGTTTAGTATAGTTTTGTTGTTGTTGTGGTTGTAGTATGGTTGTGTAACACTGATTCACAACAAAAAATAAAAATCCAACTAAACACGATTTTTTTTCTTGGTTTTCCAAATTTCTTAAAACACAACAGGAAACAAAAACAAGCAACAATACTAAACGGACCCTAAAAGTTTTGGTTGCCTCAGACCTCTCCTACAGCGTTCCTTCCAAATGAATGATAAACATCGGCACAATTTTTTCCGCTACTCGTAATATTCAAGAATATTCAATTTTATGGGCGGGTACGGATTTAATTTTTGATAATCAAAGTCTTATGTTTAGGCGAGGGATAAGATGGTTACAACTCGAGAATATCCAAATCAACTCATGTCTCATGATACTAAAGTATGCGTCAAACTCTTATATAGTTAATATATATATATGGTGGCTTCTATCGTACCCCGGGTAAATTCCGGGGTATGGCGTACCTTGGGTGATCTTGACCGTACGTGTGATATCGACGGCTGAGATTAAATTTGATTAAATGATTTGTTTTTTCGGAATTTATATTAAATAAAATTACAGATCAACTCATAGAATTAGTTTTCTTTCATTTTAGTCCATTGTAAACCAAATCGGGTTGGTTCTGTTTAGTTATTCAATTGACCCAAAACCCAACCACCCTAAGAGAAAGGACACCTACCTTGCCCCACCCGCAGCCCTACCCCTCTCCTCCAAATCCCGACCTTGGACCTTCTCTCTTCTCCATTTTTCTGTTCGAATTGGGAATAACCCTGTTCTTCCTCCCTACTCCTGTAAATCATCCCAGCCGTCTCAGAAAATGGCAGCGATAATTGAACCACACTGTTTCCTCCTCTTATTCTTCTTCGTTTTCCCGTTCTCGACTGTTATATTTCACACCTGTCCTATGATTCCTCCCAATCGATTGTTTGAACCCTAAACTGGCCGAATATCGCAGGTAATCTCGGCGTCAAGCTGTGCAAGGGTCTGATTTTGATTCTGAGTCTGACACTGAACCACCAGAGGTAGTTGGAGAGCCTACTGAAGTTGTTCAGGACATGGCTGATGTAGTTCAGGACATGGAAGACATCCCAGAACTAGAAGTTCAGGAGGAGTTTGAAGGTAGACCAACTAGAGCTAATAGAGGAAAACTTCCTGCCAAGTTGAATGATTACATTGTTGGTACATCTAGCAGATATCCTCTATCAGACTATGTTGGTTATGATCTGTTGCCTACAACAGATAAGCATTTTGCTCTTAGCATAACTACAGCAGTAGAGCCAGCAACTTACAAAGAAGCTGCTCTATCAGATGTTTGGAACAAAGCCATAGATGATGAAAGACAGGCCTTAGATGCTAATCATACATGGGATGTGGTCCCATTACCCAAAGGAAAGAAAGCAATTGGCAGTAAGTGGGTATACAAAATTAAACATAAACCTGATGGAAGCATTGAAAGGTTTAAGGCCAGAGTTGTGGCTAAGGGATATACACAGGTCTATGGTATTGATTTTTTAGATACATACTCACCTGTTGCCAAGATAAACACTATTAAAGCTCTTTTAGCAGTAGCAGCAAGCAAGAACTGGGTATTGGATCAAATGGATGTCTCAAATGCCTTCCTCCATGGCGATTTGGAGGAAGAAGTATATATGGAATTGCCTCCTGGGGATCCTAGAGCTAACAGCAGTGAGAGACTGTTTGCAGACTGAGAAAATCTCTTTATGGCCTGAAACAGGCAAGTCGGCAGTGGTTTGCTAAGTTGACGAATTCACTACTGAAACATGGTTTTTCTCAGTCTCATTCTGATTATTCTCTCTTTACAAAATGGGTGCATGGAAGGATTGTTGTTCTTTTGGTATATGTCGACGACATTATACTTGGTGGAAGTGACAGGAAGGATATAGAGGAAGTAAAGAACTTCCTAAGTAAGAACTTCAAGATAAAGGACTTAGGACCTCTGAAGTTTTTCCTTGGACTTGAAATTAGCAGAAGCAGTGATGGCATCTCAGTTTGCCAAAGGAAGTACTGTCTAGAACTACTAAAGGATACTGGTTATCTTGATGCCAAGAGTTGTAAATCACCTCTGGATCCTAAAGTCAAGTTAAGAGCCAAGCAGGGAGAACCACTCTCAGATCCTGAAGTCTACAGAAGGCTAGTTGGTCGTCTTCACTACTTGACCACCACTAGGCCTGACTTGACTTTCCCAATGCAGCAGCTAAGTCAGTTCCAGAAAGAGCCATACACAGAACATCTTCAGGCTGCCTACAGAATTCTCAGATACATCAAAGGAGCTCCAGGTCAGGGTATCTATTTCAAAAGTGATTCCACCTTGAAGCTTTCAGGCTATAGTGACTCTGATTGGGCGAGTTGTCCTGATTCTAGAAAGTCTGTCAGTGGCTACTGTACCTTCCTAGGAAGCTCATTGATAACATGGAAGGCAAAGAAGCAAACTACTGTCTCTAGATCGTCTTCTGAGGCATAGTATAGAGCACTTGCTCAATTGGTGTGTGAGTTACAATGGCTGAAAGTTTTGTTATCTGAATTGAGTGCTGAGGTTACACTACCTGTCTCGGTGTTTTGTGACAACAAGTCGGCAATACACATTGCCGAAAATCCAGTTTTCCATGAGAGAACCAAGCACATAGAGATTGCTGTTCATGTTATAAGAGAAAGGGTAAAATCTGGTTTGATTAAGCTGTTTTATGTCAGGACTGTTGATCAGTTGGCAGACCTGTTTACTAAACCTTTGAGCAGGTTCAGACTTAAGGAGCTACTTGACAAGCTTGGAGTGGAGAATAGATATGTTCCAGCTTGCGGGGGGCTGATGAAGAACAATGAACAAGCTGGTACACTGGTTCCCAGCAGCAGCAGTGGCTGATGCAGAGCAGAAGGGCGCGAAGATGAAGACGTTTCGTTGAAGAAGAATTTGGATACGTTTCATTCCCAACTTACCTTATGCGTTGTCGTTTTACCTTTACTCTTGTTAGTCGTTTAAACGATAAACAATTAGTTATGTTAGCAAGTTAGACTAAGACACGTGGTAAGCTTAGTTTAAACTTGTATTAAGTACTGTATAACGGTATATAAAATGGAAGAGCTGGAACCTCAGACTTTGAGGGTTTCCGATCGATTTCTGCCTCCTCTTTACCTTTTCTACAAGCATAAGCACCCCCATCCCTTTGAATGAAAACTAATTGTTGCTTGTATGAGTAATTCACTTGTGTAAACAGCTGGCAGGCGGAGATGATTGCACTGGAGAAGGCAATGAAAGAGGCCATGGTTCCTTCAGGATCTGCTAGGGAGGTAAGAAAGGGATTTTGAATTGAAATTGCCGAAATTAATTTTCGAACTACAATGCTGTGATTTTGGATGGATCTCTGATATGGATGAGGTGTATTGTAGACTGATTTGGGAAGAGAGGTCTCGTTGTTTGAAGCGGAGGCTACAGCTGTGGAGTCTGTATTTCAAAAATTCTATTTCTACATTTTTTTACACTGAAACCGTGGGGTTCGAACTAAACAGAGACCCCGACAGGCCCAGTCCTGCTTCTATCTTCGTGGTTAACTTTGACAAGGTAAGGGTTTTGACGAATTGTGGTGACGGTTTTATGCATTGATGATAGACCGAGTTAATGTGTATCGGAATTAGGTGCTTAAGATGTCCCTTTCCAGGATCATGTGTGTTTTTGGTCCATTCTTTCAGTAGTCTTTGACATGATCTGTAGCGGTTCCATTTCTGTTTGGCAAACTAGCCTCTGGCTGTGTACTTGTGTTTATTCGGCTGAATAATAAACGTGTCCTTAAATCGTTACCATAAAGAGGGCATTTGTTGGAAAGGAAGAAACAAAACTAAATGCTAAAATGTTTTAGCAGAACACACTATGCGACTAGATATCCTTAAATCTTTACCATAAAGAGGGCATTCGTTGGAAGGAAGAAACAAAACTAAATGCTAAATGTTTTTAGCAGAACACACTATGCGACTAGATATCCTTGAGCCCTGAATTCG